TCTCTAGTCTCTTCTCACCGCTGGCCAACCTCCGCTTTATTCCCCAGGCCCGTTAACAACCTGTTCCAGATGCACCGCGGCAGCTGGCGGGGGCTCGGGGGCCTCTGCACGAAAACTCTGGTGTTGGGAAAGCCAATATAACGTTCTTTATTGCTCCAGCCAATGGGGCACGGGGAGCTTGGGGGAGGGGAGATTATTCCAGAGAGGCTGCGAACCAGAACGATTGTGTCTCCCTTGGGTTTGCCCAAGACAGGTGCAGGCCCTTGTCCTCAGGAGTCTCTCTGGAGGACAGGAGAGGGGCTGCGGTTAGGCGCCCGTCATGGCCGGCTGGTGAGGGGTACCTACCTGACTGACAGAGAGGGATGGCGCGGTCGCTCCAGTTGGATGGCTTGTCTGCCTCGGTTTCCCCATCTGGAGAATGGGGAGAGGGAGCTCCCCGGTGTCCGGTTAGACTGGAAGCCGTTTGAGGCAGCGGCTGCCTCTCAGCCCCCAGCACACCGGGGGCCCCGAGTTTGGGGAGCAGAGTGGGAGTGAGGCTGGGGGGCTAGGCGGGGGCAGGGCAGGGAGAGAGGACGCCTGGGTTCCATTGGAATCCTTCACAAACTCAGATAATGCCCTGACCCCGAGGGCTTTGCTACGAGACTCCTAGACCCGCGGGTGACGGGCTCCCTGGGGTACCACCTGGAACTAAGTTTTACTGCCCAGCTCTCAGGTTTACCAGCCTGGCCGCCCCCTTGCACTGTGACGAGCTGCGAACCCCTCCAGGTCCTGCTCTCACAGCCATCCCCAGGCAGGGACACTCCCAGCCCAGTTACATGAATGCGTCTCCCGGCCACTCATGAGCCAACGATCGAGAGGCTGCAGCCAGTTCCCCCCCAGCTCCCCAGCCTAGGACCCCAGGGCTGGACCGTCCTGTCCTGGGCAGACCCTGAGCAGTGTGAGGGTATGAGCCAGGCCGCCACTTCTACAAGGGAACATGGACATGCACGGAGCAGATTCCCCAGGCACCGCACGCAAACCCCACCGGTTTCGGTAAAGTATAAAGCGAGTGGACTGACGCAAACAGAGCTGTTCGGTGGCTGTACGCAGGGAGCGAGCCGAGCCGAGCCGAGCCGAGCCGAGCCGGGCCGAGCCGGTCACCTATGAAATGAAAGGAAAATCGCAGTCTGAGTTCTAGAAACCAGCCAGGGTCTGAATGGGGCCGTGTCCCCCTGACGGGATCGTTCCTTGATACACAGGCTGGGATTCTCCTTTGCAGCCCGGGACCCCCTCCCCCGGTCAGTCTTTGTCCTCCAGACGTGTTCCCAGGTGTTGGGTTGGGGGGGAGGGAGGACAGGGGATGATGTCACTTCCCCCCTTTACAGGTTCCTCCAGCTGGCTGGAAAGAGCTTTTGCTGTGACCGTAGGCGCCGACTCCGTGGGTGCTCCGGGGCTGGAGCACCCACGGGGAAAAATTGGTGGGTGCTCTGCACCCACCGGCAGCTCCCCGCCCCGCTCCCCCTCCCCAGCTCACCTCCGCCTCCGCCTCCTCCCCTGAGCGTGCCGCGTCCCTGCTTCTCCTCCCAGGCTTGCCGCCGCAAAACAGCTGTTTCGCGGCGTAACAAGCTGTGAGAGGGAGGGGGGAGCGGGAACGCGGTGTGCTCAGGGGAGGAGGCGGGGCTGGGGCGGGGATTTGGGGAAGGGGTCCAATGGGGCAGAGAGGGGGTGGAGTTGGAATAGGGACTTTGGGGAAGGGGTTGGAGTGGGGGCAGGGCAGGGATGGGAGGGGGCAGAGCAGGGATGGAGTTGGGGCAGGGCCAGGGGCGGGGGGGGGGCCGAGCTCCCACCGGCGCCAAGAGAAGTTGGTACCTATGGCTATGATGTGAGTCAAGCAGCCTCCATTGTCTCTCTGCTCCCTCCCAGAGGTCTCCATTGTATCCAGTTCCCGGGGTCGTCCTTGGGCGTGTGGATTCCTTCAGCAATGTCCGGCTGCTCCGCTGTTGTACCTGAACGGCTGGTTGTGGGTGTTCCCCACCTCACCCCATATTTCAGTAACACTCACCCAGCAAAACACCATAGCTCCCCAGTCAATGCCAGCCCATCCAATCCAACAGGGTATTAGTGTGCCACACATCCAGACTTTGACAATGATCCCGCACAAGGCAGACTGTGTACAAGACACATCATAATCCTGTCACCAGAATCTAACACCCCAGGGTGTTGCTCTCGGGTGCAGAGTGTCACACCTCCCCCCTTAGTTTCCTGCAGGAGCGTTAGTCACTGATTAATGCAGAGGCCTTGGGCCCGGGTTTCTCTTTTGGTCTTAGCGTACAACTTCCAAGCGTTGCTGTACATTGTAGTGCTACCCACACGAGCTCTCGCAAACTTCTGTGTCCCTGTTAACACTTTGTGGCTCAGTTTAGTGATCTCAGAAGCTAGCCGGTGTGCCTCCTCTGGGTTGCTAGAAAACATCTCCTTGTATCTGTGCAGCATTGTTAACTGACCATTGTGCCTTTCCAACGGGGGTTAACTCAGTGGAGATAGGAATGTTTTCTAGAGTGTAGGTATCTTGACATTTAGCCATCAATGCCATGAGGCGGTGTGCCTCGGTTTCCCCTTCCACCCCGCCAGGTTTATTATGGTTTTTCTGCTGTGCCAAGCCTCAAGTCTGCTTACAGGTATCAGCTGAGAAGTTGTATTTCCAGAGGGTCTCTGCACCAGGGCGTGTTCTTATTTACAGTCTTAGCGTGTCCAAAAGCTTTTCCCCAAAATCATGCACGTTGCACCTTTCCAAAGGACTTACCATCAGCACCAAATTCCTTGGTGTAAGATTTACCATCAACATCGAATGTTTTACCATGAGATTTAACAGTAACACCTTATCTTTTATTACAGGTGGGCGTTCCCAAGTAGCTTTCTCATACCACGTCTTCTGTTTAGCCAGTATAGTTTATTGTTTGTTCAATACCCATTGTGTCTTTCAGTTCCTACTGAACCTTCACATGTGTTCAGTTCCTGGTTTGTATTTCCCTTCAGTGGGGAGCTCAGGCCCACCATGTCTTTGGGGGTTTGGCACTCCAGGGGCTGCTGCGTCAGGATGTCAGGGGGCTTGGCATGTTGGCTGGCCCTCTGTGGAGCTGCTTCTCAACCCAGGGTTATGCCCAGGCAAAAAATCCACCCGCCTCGTGGGTGACCCTGTGATCCTCACCCCCAGCACTGGGACCTTCCCCGGCCCCGTCTCCCAGAGGGTTGTGAGCGGTGCTGTCTGGGCTAAGAGGCATTTCCCCCAGCAGCTCTTCCACTGTGTCTTCCTAACCCTTGTCTCCCCGGGCACTTTACAGCGCTGCAACTTTCTCACTCGGGGTGTGTGTGTGTGAAAAAACACCCCCCTGAGCGCAGCAAGTTTCAGCACTGTAACGTGCCAGTGTAGACAGTGCACCAGCGCTGGGAGCTACGCCCCTAATGGAGGTGGTTTTCCCAGCGCTCTGCCGTGACTACACATGCCACGTTAAAGCGCTTCCGTGACAGGGCTTTAGCGTTACCCGTGTAGACAAGCCCAGAGTTCGTTTTCACAAGCCATCAGGAACAGCCTCCTGAAAACCTGGTACCCGGAGTGGGGTACCCTCCGTCACCCCTCTCTCTATTCCTGAATTGTGTGACAGCTCCCCTCCGGGAAGTCAGTTACACAGTTCCCACTGTTCCTTCCCCAGTTTCCTCCTCTGGGGTCCCCTCTAAGACACACACCTCTGTGCTCCCTAGAGAGGGGTCTATTCTCTGTTCAGCTGGGTAGGGCTCACCGCTAACAGCCGGGACAGCTGTTTCACTGCCCGGTGCTACACCCCTCCCCTCCTGAGGTGTTGTTGCCTCCAGCTGCAATGCAGGAGCTGGTCTCAACCACCCCCACCACTGGAAGCAGGCCGCTCCCCCCGGCTGCAGAGGAATCAATGAGACTCCCTCTCATTCGTTCAGCAGTTCCCGGGATCTTGCCCTTTCCCTCTGCGGTCCCAGCAGAACGCTCCTCCTTGGGGCAGGCCGACCCCTAACAGCCCGAGAGACAAGGAAGAAATCGTTACCGATTAGCATATCAATGGGGTTATTGTCCACCACTCCCACTGATCATACCGTTTCTATCCCCTCCGTTTCTATATGTGCACTTTGGCCAAAGGCACAAGGATTTTGTAGCCTCCTACTAATACCAGCTGTGCCATCTGTCCTGGCAGTATGTCCCCCCCCTTCTACTATACTCTGCCCGATCACAGACATTTCTGCACCTGTATCTTCCCACCCAAGGTGATCCCTGCCAGCTCCCCACCTCCCCCCAGTGCCTCCTGCCTGCCCACTGCCCTGCTGATCAGAACCTCCTCCTCCCTCCCAGTGCCTCCCGCCCGCCACAGATCAGCTGCAGGAGGTGCTGGGTGGGGGGAGGAGTGAGGGCAGGGCACACTCAGGGGAGGTGGCAGAACGGGGGTGGGAAGAGATGGGACGGGAAGGGGTGGAGTGGGGGCTGGGGCTGAACCGGGGGTGGGTGAAGGCAGATTAGAAAATCAGCACCGCTGAGTGGAATTACAGGGATAGCGTCTTCTGGGCTCTTCTGTTTTCACAGGAGATTTGGGACAAGGATTTAGAGGAATGGTTTTGGGGAGGTGAGCGCCCAGCCTCCCAGCCACCCTCCTTTTCCCAGGGGTAAAACAGGAACCTGTTTCCCATCAATTTAACCCCCTCGGTCTGTGGTTTATTCACAATAGATGCCCGGGATTGTTCAAAGTCATCGGCTAGAGATGCCAGTTCAGCCCCAGTTTTCACCTTTTTGTCTCACAGACGCTGTCTCACGTCGTCTTTACATATGCTCAGGAAACGCTCCAGAGCAACAAGGTCAAACATTTCTTTAAACTTGTAACCCCTTTCCCCTCCCCCACTTTCCCAGCCAATCTGTCTAAATTTCTCTCTGTAGGTTTCAGGGGTCATCTGAACTCATTCCAAAACAATGTCTTTACATTTACAATAATCTAAATCCTCCTCAGTTGGCATCTTACTGAACACAGCCAGCGCGTTACCAGTTCACTTTGCAACCAACGTGGGGATCATCTGGTCTTCAGGAATCTGATGAATCACACACAGCCTCTCAAAGGTAATGAAGTATTCAGCAATATCACCTGCTTCGTTGTCTGCAGGACACAATTGTTCCCATTTGTGGATTTTTGGAGAGGTGGGAATCGGTGGCATGAGGGGGGGTTCTGGCTCCGCTTTTCTAGCAAGTCCAATTGGTATTTCCTCTTTCTCAAATTCTTTGGCTTTCCATTCCAGGGCTCTCTGGTGTGCGGCTGCTGGCCTGGCATCCTCGGCTTCCATAACCCTTCTGTGTCACTCCTGGGGGAACGCGCAGAATTCCTGTCCTGCATCATTTTGTATTTTCCTGTGTAAAATCTAGTGTTGCAGTTCCGCCTTTTGCCCACCAGAGGCCGTTGTGACACCAGAACAGGCATCAGCCTGAACCCAGCCGGTTGTTCTGGTGCCACAGCGGCCTCTGGTGGGAAAAAGGTGGAACTGCAACACTTTGGGGGCAGATTGCAGGAAAATACAAAACTTGTTCCATACTTCTCCCCCAATACCTAACTTCCCTCTTCCTCAGCTCCTCTGTTACCCCTGACGCCCCACAGCCTTTGCTCTGCTTCTGACAGGTGCAGAAAATACAGGTCTGTGTTGTAGTTTAAATGAATTACACACATTCTATATTTATATGCATAGTAGGGAATCTATTCCCCCCCCAAAAAAAATACCAGCATTTTTTTTCTCGGTCTGTATTGTTTTAGACATACTTGCAGACAAAGATATTTTAAAATAAATTATCAAAATAATTGAAACTGGCGAGATTATATTGTGTTATTTTGACAAATAAAATATGCAGAATTGTGTAGAATTTTCAAATATTGGGTGCAGAATTTTTAATTTTTTTGGCACAGAATTCCCCCAGGGGAACCGTGTGCAGCCTCCTCTCTGGCAGCCTCTGCCGGCTTTAGCGCCAAAATTCACCTGTGTTCTTTTCTTTTTCTGCTGCCTGCAATCCGAACAGCTCCAGCTTCCCAAGGCTTTCACTGTTTTCACTCATCTTGCTGCTTTTCCGTCCCTACTTCCTTTTTCCAAAATACGCAAACAGAAAATTCTATACTATAGAATACTATAATCTCCAATTCCTAAAGGAGTGACTTACAAATAGCAATTTTCCCTTTTTAACTCCTGAAGGAACAACTTAATCCTCTCTGGGCCAGAGGAAGAGACACCAAGTTTCCCTCTGTATTACTCTGTCTGCTACCACCGAGGGTTCATACACTAATTATACAAATCCTTTCCCAGATCAGAGTGAGAAACACTAAGTTCTCCTTTTTAGCTCAGTTTTGCTACGGCTGAGGGTGTATGTACCTCTACAACACAATTTAAACCTAAACTTCTATATCCTTCAGAGTTTGGTTAATTAACTGAAAGTTTACACTCTTTTTCCTCTAGTGCCAGGCTTGCTAAAGCTGGAGGTGTGCACACCAGTTTTATAATAACTGTGGATTCTATGCTTGCTCCCCCGTTCGCATTCTCCACCAAAATGTTGTACTTAAAGTCCTGCACAGGATCTTTTCAGGGGGAATAAGACAAAACGCCACATTTATTAGTAATACATGTATTCATTAACACTGTATTATATGCATATAATATATTACACTTACACTCACACACACACACACACACACTCCACACACACACACACACACACACACACACACACACAC